CAGGCATGTGGCTTCTTTCAGCTCTTTGCCACAACTTGAAAACTGTTTTTAAATGAAATGTTTTGGGGAATACAGACAATTGCCATCTAGTCAACAGTTATCTTCATGCAAGGGGTCTTCCTGCACCAATTACTCTTGTGTACATATAAGGTATTTTTTAAAAAGAGAAACATGCCTTTATTTTCCTATGTCCTTTTTTATGTTTAGAATAGTCACCTGAGGGGGGATCTGCTTAACTGGACTATGTGATAAATTCTTTCCAAATGAACTTCATGCTGACTTTGGTGTGGCACATTTGAAATAAGCTTTGGATGTGGTCATTTCAATGGCAATGTGTTATTGACCTCAGCCAAACTCTGTACTTGCCTCCTGAGGTGGCCCAGTCCATTCACAGGGAGCAATGGGTTCCTCAGGACAGCAAAAATTAGGTTATGCTGAGAACTCAGACAGCTGTGCCTAAGTGCTGGCCTCCCAGACAGCTCCTTCAAGAGCAGCGCCTATTGATAATTCCTGGGCTGTTTCTGCAGCCCACCACCTCTCGACAGATGCCAGGCATCTGTATCAAAGCAAGGCTGCTTTCTTGTCCAGTGATTTGCCTGGACAAAATAATATTTGTCATTTTATCACAACCCTTTCACATCAGTTTATTCACAAGACTGCCTGTCCATATTTTCAAGCAACCACTGTGCTATGGCTGAGGTGTGCTAGAGCAGAGCACACTCTTCCCTTGGTTCTTCCTTCTCAGAGCCAGCCTCAGTTAGGCAAGCTTCTCTCCATCGTTCTGCACCTTCACTTAATGAATTTAAGCTCTGTGATTCTGTGAGTCCTTGCAAGAATGAATTTATGATCAACTCTTAGCTCCTTCGTGTGGGGTGCCAGCATCCCTCCGCCAAGTGCTGTGCCCATTTCTACAAATCACCAGACCCCCACCTGCAGCAGGAGGTAAGATTACTCTCCGAAGCTTAGAGGGTCAGCCTCGGAACTGCTGTTTTGCACCCTCTTTTGGTTGGTGTCAAGTTGCTAAATGCCACACAGAGTCCTACATGTTGACCTTACTTTTTAAAATATATTCCTAAAAAAGGTTTTCTATGGTCAAATATAGAGAATAGATTTTTTTTCAACTTGCAATCTTCTGATTCTTACAGAAAATTATCCTTCCAGAAGATACTAGAAATATTTATTGAAGATAATTTGATAACCTCAAATTAATTCTCAATTCTTATCATCTGGGGGATTTGTTTCTAAATCATAGCTTAATTAACATTTACTTTTGATTTATGTTCCCAACACATCCAAAAGCTGATTTATAAACTATTATTCATTGATGCACTGATTTTTTTTTTTAAATGGAGATATTTCCCATTTTTATTCCCCTGGAAAAATATAATTCCCCAGCTGTACTAGAACTGTTTTTATAGTGGAGTGGATGATGCTTTTGGCAGAACCAGAGAAGCCAGGAGTGCTAATTCTTGGTGAGGTGAGCTGGCTGGTATGGGTGGGGTGGGAGCTGCCCCCTGCCAAGCTGCATGCTCCCTCACCTGGGTGGTCTCTACCAGCCAGATCCCTCGAAACTCCCATTTGATTTTTTAAAAAAAGCACAGCAGAGCATTTCCCTTTGTATGTTCCTAGAACAGAACCGTTTCTAAAACAACTTGAAGTAAAGTTTTATTATGTAAGCATCTTTTTTGTTGTTGTTTTATTTAAGTGTACTAGAATGTAAAACCCTTATGGTTCAGGTTTTTAAAAACTGGTAGAATATTGTATTTGCCTCATCTGATGCACTGTATTTCAATCTATCATTAAAATTACAATATGTTTGCTCCCTGGTCTTTTTGTTGTCACTCTTTAAGTGTTTTAGTAGGTTTTTCCCTTGGGGAAAATTAGTAGTTTACTATATGCCAACCACAAATAATATATGTAAAGTGGCTAAATATTCACTTACAAAATCATACATGTAATTAATTCATCAGGAGTCTTAAGTGTTTGGCTGGAACAGATAAGTACTCTGATTTTAAAATGAGAAATGCCCCTTACCCATAAATTTGAGGAAATTCTGAAGGCAGGAAAACTACTGGAAATACCCAAGAGTCAAGGAATGGGTCCTCCTTGTACAGCGTAAAACCTAAAATTGGCCTTTCCCCATTTCTAGGGAACTTCACGTTTTTGGAGCCCTGTAAAGGCCTGTGTGAAATCACACTGCCCCCTACAGGTCAACCTTCTTAATAGGGCCTGAGATCTCTGACTGTCCGTGAGAAGCACTGCTGGGTGAGAGAACCTAATATTAGGCAGAAGATGCTCAGTGGGATCAATTGCCAGGCAACTATCCCCAGCAGTGACACCAGAGCAGAAGGCTAGGAGGGCCACTGTGCCAGGTCCCCACTAGCCATGTAGAACTTCTGCACAGGGCAGTCACATGGTGAGTTTGAGTTTGAGGATTTGGTGCTGTTTCACTACCAGACTAGTTTAGCAAAATGAAAAAAAAAAAAAAAACCAAAAAACTGCTATCAATGTGAAACAACTCCAATCACTGCACAGGATCTGTGCAGCGTGTTCATGCTGACAATTTCATCCATCTTCTCAGTTTGTAATTCAAGTTGTGAGTTGACAAGGTGGTCTGCTGGGACTTGATCCCCAACAGTCCACTCTCCACAGGCAGGTACAACGCCCCTTTTCTTGCTCAGCTTTCTCTGCCTGAAACAACTCACATGACTAGAAGTTTTGCTGGTGACTGGCTTTCTCTGAGGACAGAGCAGTGGGCTGGGAAGCTGCCAGGCAGTGCAGCCACGTCTGTCCTCCCAAAGGAGTTGATGCTACCTGGCAAGCTGCAGCATCAGGCAGCCCATGAAGCCTGGGTGTGGCCTCTGGAGGCTCTTCTCCTGCATCTGCCCTCCTAGCCCAGGATATTGGGCATATTATACTGCAACTGTTGTATAATGGGAGGCCACCCCCAGAAGCCCTGACACTAGGCTGTTCATGAGGAGGTAACTGCAAGAACTCTCAACTTGGAAAAAACCTATGGCTGGAAATGAAGGGAATGAGCTCAGCTCCATATCAACTCTTGTAGGAAAAGAGAGCCATGTGACAAAAGCACCTCAACACAATCCCAATACAACGTTCCATTTTGTTTAATGCACACACTAGACATTTTACAATTCACACTTGGACACAGCACATACAAAAGGATGTACAGAGGATTCTGAGATCGGTCTCCAGCACTTCTTCCTCAGAGAAATGATACTAACCCCAATCCAAGTGGCTGAGGCAGTGGGCCTGCCCCACAGCATGAGGACACGCCTCCCCACCAAGTTCCCTATCTTCTGGCTCCCTTAGCAGTCTTCCATGGAGCTGTGAGCTCACTCGCATATACTCAGAGCTAATACTATAAATGCTAAACTTTTTATAAGTTCTCCCTGCCAAGCTTGGCTGATAATCACTGTTCTCAATTGGCCTTTCCATATCACTCCCTTTTTCCTACCACCTAGGACCAGACCTGAACTGACTAATGAAGCCTTCCTATAGACAGGAGAGGAGTTCCCAAGGCTTCTGCAGGCCACAGTGCCCAAGCAAGTGTCAAATGCCAGCGGGAAGAAGGAGCCCTTGGAATGATACTCTCTGCAAATGGGAGGCCAAGGACCGCCCAGGCCTGTCCAGGCACTTGAAGTTAGCGCCTGTGGGCCAAGTGATGGGTTTTATGCAGGAGGGCTTTACGCAGAAGGCACCGAGGTAGCTAAGGGAGAGCAGATAGGGCTCTTGTCACTGAAGTCAGTGATACTGAGAAAATGGTTTTACCGAGAGCATTTATTTTACATCATGGCTGCAGGGTTTCAACGTCTGTGCCATCAGATGGGCCTCTCCATAAAGGTAAGATGGATAACACCCGAGGTCACCCTGTCTAGGTGCCAACAGACCAGAGGTGCAAAAATTCTTCATAGCCACCTCCAGCTCAGCAATGGCCAGGCTGTGGGGCCATCATCTCTTGATGTCCTTGGTATCAGGGAGGCACAAATCTGATTGATGATATTCTCACCAGCAGTGTGGAAGGTCTTGGAAACATGCAAATCTTGCAAACAGTGTCTCCCTGACTTCCTGAGGCCCATTTCCCTTCCTTCATGTTGCTGCGTCCTCAGTGCTCCAGCCTGCCTTTCAGACCCAGTGCTGGTGTGTCTGGGCCAAACAGGACAGGGAACAGCTGGAAGGCTGCAAGCACTCACTGGGAGTGGGCTTACCAGACCATCTAGAGACAGCACCACCTCTGAAGCCCCTCCGGCATGAATAGGCTTTTAAAACAACGGACACACACGGTAGCATGCATTAGATGGTGGGTGGGGTCTGCTTGGATTTCAGTGGTTTCCTTAAGAAATGGGAATGCCTCATCCCACCTCAGCAAAGGAGCAAATGTGCAGCATGTGGAATGCGTGGGGCCATCATGCAGTCCAAAGACGCCCTGAAGTTTTGTAAATAGAATCTTGCCTGCTGGTGACTTATATTCTGCTTTCAGAATTGCTCTCTGGGAGGCTGGAGGTGTGGCTTAGAAGGATTGCCTAGCATGAGGCAAAGAAGCAAACAATTGCTTTTTGACATGGCAAACTGATAACCAGCACACAGGGCTCTATGCTGTAGCTCAGCCTCTGCCAGCAGAGCTTGCTGGGGGCAAGGGCTAAAGGAATACCATGAAGCCAGCTATGCTCTGGCCCAAACCACGCAACTTGGGCCAGGTTAGGGGCCATTCCTTGGGTTCTCATGTCTAACATATCATCAATGTTCCAAATGCTCTTCATCAGAATCGACAAGGAGGATAACTACAGAGCTACACAGGCAGAAGCAGCTCCTTTTCCTCCTTCCATACATTTCTTTTTCTTTCTTTTCTTCTACTTTGGTACCAGGAATTTAACTGGGATGTTTAACAACTGAGCCACATCCCCAACCTGATTTTTTTGTTGTCTGTTTTTTTTTGTTTGTTTGTTTGTTTTGTTTTTGAGATAGGGTCGTTTAGGGCCTCACTAAGTTGCTGAGGCTGGTATCAAACTTGTGATCCTCCTGCCTCAGCCTCCTGAGCTGCTGTGATTACAGGTCTGTACCCTCCCATACATTTCTAGGCAACTTCTATGAGCATGGTTCTGGTTTCAATGCTCGTTCTCCATGCCTGTAGCTCTTGCTACTCAAATGAGCTCATATACAGGGTGGGGTGACCACCCACCACCCAGTAGAAAACATTTCCAAAGCAGAAATAACTCTTAAGAATTTTACCCTGGCCAGCCTAAGGCTACCCTTAGTCCCCTCTGGAATCTGGTAGGAATTAGGGCTGCAAGTCGCAGCTTCCAACTTCTCCAGATTCTTATACTCTCAGGGCAGGATTATCATGAGATGCACATTTGCACTGAAGTAACTGAAAAGTCTCCACTTGTGCCAGCTCTAAAGGCCAGCAATGTAAAATCCAGGATTGGAAAAGAAAAACACTGCCCTGGGTATTACATGTGTGTGGCATTGCTTGGTGTTGATTTGTCTGCCCCGTGCAGGGGTTCCAAGTGAACTGGGTGCTAGCAGGACCCAGCCACTTACAGCTCTCAGAGGTCACTGCCAGAGTCAGCCACTCCAGTGTGTAGGGGGATCATACCACCTTTCGATTTATCACCCAGGCAGAAATGCTCTCCTTCCACGCCGTCCCCAGTGTCCTCTTGCCTGCTCTCATCTTGGTTTCCCCTCCCCATGCTGAGGCTGGGACAGGATGGCTCTGAGGAGCTGGTGACCCAGCAGGTTCCGAGGATGATGCTGGTAATCTGCTGGAACTGGGTCTTGAGTCTCTACCAAGTCTCTTCAGAGCACCTGGGGCAGGGCAGACACCCCACCCTGCAGGCAGGGCACAGAAACCAAATTCACGAACACTCAAAGCTTGTCAGGAAAACTCACAACAATAAGAAGCCAATGATGTGGAAAGCGTAGCACAGCAGCTGGGGGTCTACATGAGGGGCCGAAGGGTGGTGGCACCCTTCATGTGTGTATGCTGCTGAATGGAGCCTCAGATTGAGGACAGTACGGGTTGCGAGGGCTCTGCAGACTGTGTTTGCAGTGCTGAGTATTTCACTAGGGAAAGAAGACATGTGTTAGGTGGTCTCACCTGTATCCTGCACAGAAGGCCCTGCTAGGGACAGAATTGTGCTTCCTGCATGTTGGGTCAGGAACTGACCCAAGCCTGTCCCAGACACACTTCCTCTGGGGCCCATTCCCTGCCCTGTGTCGGACATGCCTTGGGCCCTGGAACAATGTTCTGGGTGGGTGAAGGGGGAGAAAGGGAAGTCAGCCAGGCTCTGCAGAGCCCAGCCTCCACTTCCTCACCTGGAATCTGGAATGCTCCTCACAGGGTTACTGATTATTTTAAATAAAGCACTCAATACAGCACTTGGCCGGTACAGGTGCTCACTCACTCAATGGAGGCTAGAAGTCTTAAAACTTGTGATAGTGAATGCTACCTCTCATAGAATCCTTTTTTTCCACATTTGGACCCGGGGCTATTTTCATCTATTTGGTATGGCAACACCTTGATGATGACAAGAGAACCTTGTTCCCCTTACACAACAGTCCCTCCTGATCTCCTTGGCCCCATCATAATGGCTGTTGCCCTGTGACTCTGGTCACAACACACCTGGGCTCTGCTAGTCTCCCTGTCTGTGCCATCCCAGCCTTAGCTGATAGGAAGCTGGCTTGCCTTCTGCTTCCTGAAGCCTTGCCAGGCCTCTCCACTGGCATTCTGGGCCACAGGCTATATCTTCCTGGAGAAGCTGGCCACTCCAGACCAGTGGCCTGATCTTATGTGGCCTCAAATTGCTGCTAGTTCCTGAAGCCCAAAAGTGCTCACTGAGCCAGGAAGGGAAGGCTGAGAAGGTCTGGGTTTTAACCATGTACCCGCCCTGCCTTTGGCAATTTTCAAATCAAAAGGCTATAGATCTAGGTGAAAAGTCTTCCCACAGCTCTATCTAAATGTGTCCAGGACATGTCCCTTTCTGCCAACAGGGAACAGAGAGGTACCTGGTGCTCTAGCTCAGATCAATCAAGAGCAAGAATAGCAGGAGTGCCCAAAAGTCGCTGACATGGCACCAGATGCTCTGTCATCCCAGCAATGCCAGTCTCCTGAAGCCAGAAGACGCTGGCTGATCAGGCACACCTGGGCATTTGTGGCCTTCTACTCTGGCTGGTCATTCTATGCTTCCCTAGCCCAGTTCTGCTCAGTGCTGGGGCCACCAACTAGGAGACTTTCAGCAAGGAATAGTAACCAAGATGTCCTCACCTTGGGGTTCCTCACATACAACGGCTTCCAGGTTCTCCCCTTTCACGTAGTCTGCATTGAGACCCTCTGGAAAGGGCGGATGGCAGTGTTAGTGATGGGCATGGAAATAAAGGGGCCCCCTGTGACTCAGCACTGCTGACCGAGTCCTCCATTACAGTAGCTGCCCACTTCAGACCCCTGTCCTGGACAACCTGGACATCCTTTATCTCAACTGAAACTGTCCATCTGGAACTGCACTGCTCAGGAGTACTCATCAGTGCCTCAGAGATGAAATATTATGCATCAAAGGCCGCTGACACCCTGTCCCTATAGGGCAGCTCTGCTCAGAAGAGGAGGCACCAGACAGCAGGGCTCAGCACCATCCACAGGTCCCATGTGTGACCCAGGGACCAGGGAGGTAGTGAGAGAGCCAAGTGCCACATGAGTGACTGATGGATGCAGCACAGGGAGGGGGCAGATGGCTGAATGGAGCTCACTGTGGAGATGCCAACAAAGCCTCCTGCCAACACATGGCCTTCCCAGCAGCACCTGCACCGAGAAACCAAATGGCTTCTCCTGGCAGCAGGAATAACTGCTGTCCCCACCCAAGCTGGAAGGGCCCAGGATCTACTGGCAGCTGCTCTAGTCTAGTTGGCTAACTAGAATGCAGAGATTCAACAAAGCATCCTCTTCAGTCCAGCAGAGGCTTGTAGTGGACAGCACACCTGCTGCTGCTAAAGGAGAATCCACAGACCTTGTCTCATCTCTTGGTAACCCAGGCCCTGCAGGAAAATTGTGGTTCTAATAGACCAATTGACCAAGCACTAGCACAAGTCACACTATCATCCCAGGCCAAGGGCTCAAGATGGAAGCCAGATGAGCCTTTGAAAAATGCAGTCATTGCTCTTTGGCACAGGTGGCCAGCCCCATGCACAGCCAGGCAGGGGAGGGCCCAGCCCTGATGGGTGGGGGCTAGGAGATTGCCTTCTGCCTGTACTTGCTCCTCAGGGATGGCCACTAGGGGGCATCTCAGTGTCCTCTCTGATCCTGCCCCATCCCTGACCCCCAGCCACACAGGCCTGGGGACAGAGGGTCTGGCAAGTGGCATCCTCACACACATATCAGGGAAAGCTAAAGATGGTTGTGGTTGCAGCCAAGTTGGTGAGTGCCAGGGAAGAGGATGGGGTGGGGAGCATGAGAAAGAGCAAGATGAGGCAAGGGAGGGGGAGGAATGATGAGGTGTCCAAGGACAAAGCACAAGGAACATAAGTAAATCAAAGCACGTTGTTACCTTGACCTTCCGCTGCATCTGAAGGCAAGACACGAATCTTAGAACCCTGGAGTAAGAACTCAGCTCCTGGCAACCAAACTCTTGGGCTTTCTGTGAGACACACTGACCACTGGCACTGGAGGCAGACAGGGGAAGCTGACAGTCCCCAAAGCATGGGCTCCTTTGGTAGCAGTAGTGACCAAGAGCACCTGAGGCCCACATAGAAGGTGGAAGCAGGCCCTCCACAGAAACAGTGTCTATGAGGTTAGCCACCCTACAAATATCCTCAAGACTGTTTCTGATCCTGGCCTGGACTATATATCATTAGCACATCAGTACATGAAGCACAACAGTCCCTATGGAATGGACAGTCCAGAGAAATGCAGGGTTGGGGTGTAGTCAGACACAAACCCACTGGCCCTGCAGGTTCTGACAAAGTCAGCAGGGGGCGTTGTGGCAGCACAGAAAAAGTGCAGCCAGTGCAGCCACAGGCTGGTCCTGGGGAAGGATTCCTGAGAGGAAATGCTCTGGGCCAGAGGACAAGAGGAGCTCTCTGGAGACAGAGGCTGCAGGGTGGAGAGGGCAGGGCATCCAGGGAAGCGGGTATGGCTGTAGAGAAGGCTTCAAGGGACAGGGAGGAGCCACACCATAGTGGGCTTTGAATGCCAAGCTCAGGGCCTGGAACATAACTTGAGGGCAGCCGGAAACACGAGGTCCAGGCATTTTAAACAGGTCCTTCTTGAAGAGGGAGAATTATGGGAGGGGAGAGGGGCAGGCAGGAGGCAGATGAAACCTTATCCAGCTAGGAGATGGAAGAAGACCTGGGCCTGGACAGGCAGTGGCCATGGCAACAGTGAGAGAGCTGTGGCCCAGAGGAGACACATTGGGTGGCACAGGTCCCAAGGTTGGGAGTACACAGGTCGGGCACAGGAGGGAATCCCAGGCCTTTACCTTCGGGAGACAGACACCCAGGGAAAGAGGGGGGTTGACAAAGAAGGGCAGTAAAGTCCAAGATCAACAGAGTGGGGGAGAGTTCCCTCTGGAACCAGCCACTTTGCCTGCTAATTCAGTGTGTGAAACCTCACACCTGTTTGTTTATTAAACAAGTGTGAAGACAATGTATTTTCCTTTTACCTTAGTGTCCCTGTAAACACATCCAATCAAGATGTTTATTCTATGTTTTGGAAATCAACCCATTTTCCTCCTCTCTATTCCTACCTGGGTGGCTCTGACCTTATTTGGTCACAAGATTTGTTCATACAGCTGAGGTCCAGAAGACCCACCCTGTCTGTTCAACCCAAGTCCTCTTGGCCATCTGTTGCCCTGCCCTTGCCAGGCTGAGGCACAGGGCTGGCTTCTCACCCACAGGAACAGTCCTGAGGCTCTGGGTGTGAATGAATGATCTGCATTCACCCAGCTCTAGTCCTTTTGTAAAATGGGGTCATCAGGGTCTACTTGGAGTTGGACCACATCACTTCATCTCTCAGGCCCCAACCTCTTCACCGTCAAGTATGAGAATGGACCTGAGTGGACCTGAGTGAGCTCACACCTCAGTGCTCCTCCTACCAGTCAGAACTCCAGGGTGTACTTTTCAGGGCATAGAGATAACTTGATAAGACTTTTCGCACTCTAGTCAGTCATAGGGCCCTGGGAAGCTTAGGTTTGTGCCACCAGTCTCATAGAAGTCCCAGGGTTCCAGGAGAAGAGTCTAAAACCACTAAAGTGAAGTCTACTACTTATTAAGCCTCTCAAGGTGAGATCTTTCTGGACTGAGCAACATGGCCACAAGCCAAAGAACATTTGGAACCCCCAGAAACTGTAAGAGGCATGGAAGAATCGTTTCCTAGAGCCTCCAAAAGGATTACGGCCCTGCTGACATCTTGCCCTCAGATTTTCAGCCTCCAAAACTGTGAGAATGAGTCTCAGTTGTTTTAAGCTACTCAGACTGTGGTTCTTTGTCCCAACAGCCACAGGATAATGCAACAGTTGTGCAGGTCGAGACTGCTTGTTTGGCAAACCTTGTTGGTGAAACCTGTTGCCTCCCAAGTTAGAGGGCTTCTTGTCTGAGTACCTCCATGGCTAAGGACCAAGCACAGAGTGGCAGTTCCTCTCCTTGCCTCCCCATGTACGTAGGAAGGGAAAAGAGCAGAACAGCAGGACAAAGAGGTACGCCATGTGACACTTCTAGACCTCCAGTAAATGTGCAGACCTCCCACTAGTTTTGGGGTCCACTGTTATGGTTCGGATGTGGATATGGTTTGAATTGCTCAGGTGTGAGACAGTGCAAGAAGGTTCAAAGGAGAAAAGATTGGATTGTGAGAGTCTCAACCCAATCAGTGAATTCATCCCCTGATCAGGATTAACTGTGTGGTAAGTGAAGGCTGGTAGGGTGAGGCTGGAGGAGGTGGGCATAGAGGGCATGGTTTTAGGTTCATATTTGTGTCTAGTGAGTGGAGTCTCTCTCTCTGTTTTCCGATCATCATGTGGGCTGCTTCCCTCTGTCATGCTCTTCTGCCATGATGTTCTGTTTCACCTTGAGCCCCAAGGAATGGAGCCAGCCTTCTAAAGACTAGGACCTCTGAAAATCCTGAGCCCTCAAATAAAATTTTCCTTCTCAACAGTTGTTCTGGTCAGGTCTGTTAGTCACAGCAGCAAAAGATGTGAGGGCAGGAGTGGGTGTGGCCCCATAGCAACCTTTTAGCATCAGAAAGGGGATGTTTTCAGAATCATAAGAGCCCTGGCTTGCCCAATGGCATTTGCTGCTATGTTTAAAATCCCCGAGAAAGTATGGCCTTCTGGTCAGCAGGAGAGGGAGCTGTTGACCTAGAGCCTCTGGTAGCCCCACATCCCCTTGAATGTGATCAGAGGCCATAAGGATATCCCAGGGCCCTTTCCATTCTAGGGAAGGAAATGCCACAATGGTCACTGAGCTCTGTCTCCATATAGCCTCTGAGTACTGGGGCCCCTGGAATGTCAAGGTCACCTGGAAAACTCCCATCTGTTGTCACAGACTGGTGTACACTTCAGTTGGACCTCAATTTGTCCCTGTGGATTTTAAAAGGGTACCCCACACCGTGGCCCAGGCAGTACACTTAGAAGCTAGTGTGGGGCCAGATGTGGGAGGGATGTGTCTACACTGACCCCTTCACTGTTCAGGTGCACTTACGCTGAATGCTGAAGCAAAACTTCTTCTGCTGGTAGGAGATGTAGCTGGACACAGCACCAATCAGGGCCATGGCCAGGGCACTGGCTACTCCAGCGATGGTGCCAGTCTCTGCTGACATGCCTGGGCACAAAAGAACAGGGAGAGCTTTTGCAGAGCACCTTGGATCTTAGCTCAGGAGTGGGTTTCTCTACTTGCCCCGAACTAAGCTGGTGCAGATGCCGTAACCCCCATGTCCATGCAAGAAGGCTAAGCCATGGATGTCCAAGGCATGACAGTGACACAGTGCTCCTTGGATTTGCCAAATACTTTTGGTCTTCTATAAAGACTTGCATTTTGAGGAACTTGAAATGTAGACATGGAAATGGTACTGTCCCCGCTCTTACTAAGGCCCAGCCACAGCTCTGGGTCTTGGGTCAACAGTCCCCCTCATTGGACCACCTCCCCTGGGATTCAGATCTTCATGCTAGTTCCTTTTAAAGACTGCACCCCTCTGCTATTTGCCTTATGGCTTCTGCTGAAAACATTCAGGGAAAGGGCAGGGTACACCCTGAGACCAGCTGTGGGACAGCACTATTTTCCTTATGGCTTCCAATGAAACCTTAGGGTACAGATACTCACCAGATCCAGGGTCATCACTGCTGCCATAGCCACCACCACCTGGAGAAAGGACAAAAACAGTGTCTGCTGTGAACCTGCAGCGATGTGGATGGCAGGGCCTGTTTCTTTATGCTCGTCACCTGCAAAGCCCAGGCTTCAGGGTAGAATTGCTCATCATTCAGTTAGCTCCCTAGTTTTTCTCTCTGCTGTCCAATGGGGCAGCTGCACTTAGCACCCCACCTACAAGGGAGGGAGCAGAGGCTGGCAGGCAGCAGAGGTTGAGTACAGGGCAGGCCTGACTGAATGACAACACCATGTGTCCCCCATAGGAATGTTGACAGGGGTTGAGGATAGAGGGGGAAAGATTTGGCTGTGTTTCTAAGTGGGTGACATGGAGAATCCTTGTGATGACAGAACTGTTCATCTCCACCATAGTAATAGTAACACCAGTCAACACCTGTGATACAACTCCACAGAGCTCTACACACACACACACATACACACACACACACACACAACACTCCCTGACAAGCAATTGGTACTAATTCAGGACATTAATTAGCCCTGAGTTTGTACTTCTTGTCACCCTCTTCCTTTTAGGACCAAATGCTCATTGATGGAAGGAGATGATTTTTTCTGGGCCCAGAGTTCTTAGGGGAATCCAACCTGTGGTGTTGGAGGCTATGGGTTCTGACATTTTCTTTACTAATCAAAGAGTCTTGGGAGGTGTAGGCTAATGGAATGTAAAAAGTGTACCATGTGGGGGGGGGCAATGATTGCGGGGGGTTGGTGAGGGACAGTGGCTATATGGGAACTCCCTGTACTTTGCACTCATTTTGCTGTGAATCTAAAGATGCTCCAAAAAATAAAATCTATTTTTGAAAAAAAAGAGTCAAAGGGCAGGAGAAAATGAGATTTGTTATTCTCCCACCTAGGACTGAATCATGGAATCAGATGCATCTTATAAAGATCTCAGATTGGCTATGAACAGCTATGCACAAAACAAATAACACAGCATTTCTAACAAACACACTTGCTATTGTTGGAGAAAGCAGAGTGGGAAGAAGTGTAGGAGTCACCATATACACTAATGTGTGAGTGGCAACAAGGTCACCAGTGAGTGCTTGCAGAACTACAATGCTGGCCTGTCATTGGTCCCCTCTGCTGTTCTAGAGGTGGCTATTGCCAAGGATAAAGGCAGATATCCACATAGGCTCCCTCTGTTGACACATTCAAGTGGCTAGATTTCCAGGTTTTGAACCCTCTTAGTAATTATTTTTGAGGGAGGGGGTGTGTACCAGGGATTGAACTCAGGGGCACTTGACCACTGAGCAACATCCCATCCCTGTTTTGAATTTTATTTAGAGACAGGGTCTCACTGAGTTGCTTAGTGCCTAACTATTGCTGAGTCTGGCTTTGAACTTACAATCCTCCTGCCTCAGCCTCCTGAGCTGCTGGGACTACAGGATCCTACCACTGCACCCAGCTCTAGGTAATTCTTTAACATAAAGAGAGAATGAAGCTGAGTGTAGTCCCAAGCCTGCTCACTTCCTCATCTCCCCCCAGGGGTGCACAGAGAGACTGGCCAACAGATCCAAACACTTAAGCTCCTGATTATCTAGCTGTGATTATAGGAAACACTGACTTAAGATGATAACCAAAACTGTAATTCTTTCCTCTCCAAAAAAGGGATCTCATCCTGTGAGGCTAGAGGAAAAATAGAAAAATAAAGCTCATCACCCCAAATCCTGTCCAGTTGAGTTGCATGAACCTTGTTACTGGAGTTAGCCACGCCAAGGTCCTGGCTTTGATAGCTCTTTGGCCACTGATCTCTGGTTACTTTACCTGAGCTCAAGCTGAATCCAGCTCCTCTACACAGTGCACTCTGCTCAAAAGATGGTCTTGGGACAAGCAAAAAAACCACCGGCATAAAATAAAGTGATACAACTCAGTACCATCCAAGAAAATGAGTTCCCAATAAAAATAAAATGGATGAAGCCATAAAAGCACTAAAAGAAATTTTAGGACAACATTTATATTATCTTAGGGGTAAGGAATGACTTTCAAACATGATCATAAAGCAGGAAACACAAAATGGGAAAGAGTGTACCACATGTAAAAACTTTAGTATTAAGAGAACAAGAAACAAAAGGAAAAATAAACTGAATTTTATAAAAATTAAAAACGTTTTGTGTTTCAAAGGACATCATCAAGAAAGTGAAAGATGGCTCATAGAATGGGAGAAAATATTGGTAAATTATATATCTGATAAGGGACTTATATTGAGAATATATAAAGAATTCCTAACAACTCAATAATAAGACCAATAATTCAATTTAAAAATAGGCAAAGGCTGGGGCCGGGGCTGGGGCTCAGTGGTAGAGTGCTTGCCTTGCATGTGTGAGGCACTGGGTTTGATTCTCAGCACCACATAAAAATAAACAAATAAAATAAAGGTATTGTGTCCATCTACAAATAAAAAATATTTAAATAAAATATAAAAAAATAAAACTAGGCAAAGGATTTGATGGTCAAAAAGACACACAAATAGCCAATAAGCACCTGAAAAATCAGTCCATGTAACTCAGGAAAGGCACCCCAAAATCATAATGAAATGCCACAAAAAAGAAGAAAGGAGAAAGAAAAGGATGAGGAAAACTGAAATTCTCTTATACATTAGTAAGGGCAACTGTTAAACTGTTTGAAAGTACCCCCAGGAATCCATGTACTGGAAACTTAATCCCCAAAGTCATATGTCAATGGTATTTGGAGGTGGGATATTCAGGGGGTAATCAAGGTTAGATGAGGTCAGGAGGGTGGGTCCCCATGATGGCATTAGTGGACTGATTAAAAGAAGGCCAGGGAGGGAGGGTGCAGGTTCAGTGGATTAGACATAGGGGAAGAAAGGGAGGAGGGTGGGATGGGAATGGGAAAGACAGTAGAATGTACTGGACACAACTGTCCTATGCTCATATATGAATACATGATCAGTGAATCACCACATCATGTACAAGCCCAAGAATGGGCAGTTCCAGCCTCCAGAACTGTAAGGTAAATAAACATCTTTCCTTTATTAATTATCCATTCCATGTATATACAATATGTCAAAATACACTCCACTGTCATTATAACTAAAAGAACAAAAATTTAAAAAAAAAAAAAGAGGAAGAGGGACCAAGGCTACCATGTTCATTCTGTCCTGCCACATGAAGGCCTCAGCCATGTCATGATCCAGCAAGAAAGCCCTCATCAGATGATGAGCATATGTCAGCATCATGCCGTTAGACCTCCCAGCCTCCAGAACTTGGTACTAAATAAACCTCAATTCTTTTTTATTTGTTATTTTTACTTATGTATGTATGACAGTAGAATGTATTTTGGCATATTACACATACATGGAGGACAACTTATTCTAATTACGATCCTGTTCTTGTGGTTGTTCATGATGTAGAGTTACCCTGGTTGTATATTCAAATACAAGGCTAGGAAAGTTATGTCCATTTAATTCTGTTGTTCTTCCCATTCCCCTCTCCCCTCCCTACCCATTGTCTAATCCGATGGATTCTATTCTTCTCTTCCCTACCCTTCTTTTTTGTGGTTTAGCATCCACAAATCAGAGAGAACAATCAGCCTTTGATAAACCTCTATTCTTAACAAATTACCCAGTCTGTGATCATCAGTCACACCAACAGAAAACAGACCAAGACAGATATATATTCAAGACATATGTCCACATAAAAATTTATATGCCAATATTCATAACAGCAACATTCATAAAAACTAAAAAGTAGAAAAAATGCAAAGTTGTTTGACTGAATAAATGAAATATTTTTAGAATATATGCAAAAGGCTTCCTAATCCATAATGTAAAATGAACCCTTACCTATGAGAAAATTGGGCCAAGACATGGACAGGCAATTCACAAAATATATTGTCCAATAAGACATATAAAAAGTTTCACTTCTTTTGAATTAAAAAAATGAAAATTTGAACAGGACAGTGTTTTGCTCTGAATGATTTTACAGAGATTACAAAACCGTGATGTTGATGGAGGCAAAGGTCTAAGAAAAAAGGCATCTACTTGCTTCCTCATGGTTGAAATGCAAGATGGTACAACCTTAATGGAATATTACTTGGCTGTGCCATGCAAAGTCTCATCTTTAAAAACAGATACCTTCTATGACCTAGCAATTTGACTGTTAGGAATTTAACTGACAGAAACAACTGTGCTTTTGCATATTCAGCATGACAATGCTCATCTTGACACTGTGTACAGTAGCAAAAGCTGGGGGAACCCCTCTGTACAAAAACAGGTAGCTGGTTAAAGACATGATGGTATAACATAATATCATGTTGTCACTGACAGGGTATTATAGAACACATTTCAACAATAGACCATGGTTGAATAAAAACTGGTGGTAAAAGAATACAAGGATCACAGACACACTTCTTTACAAATGTATATTTGTGCATAGAAAAAGAACTTCCAGTTTATATTCCAAAGTATTATTGGCCCTTCTCCCTAGATGGCACAACAACAAACTTTTTTACATAATTTTTTACATATGTACACCTTTTTTTTTACAGAATTCTAGAAAACTTGTAAATATGTAAGCCCCATACGATCTATTTCTCTCCAAGAGGCTATTTCACAAGTCATTGGCAAGATCTTCATTTTCTAATACAGTACATTTTATCCCACCTGCCTTCCGAGTTCATGATTATATACTAAAGGGACTATGGTACTCTTCTGTCACACCAGAAATTTCCCTGTACAGTGTACTTCATGCTGCAACTTGCTTTCAGCACAGACTGCTATAGCTCTAGGAACCTCTGATCTAACGATAGCCACTGTAGCAACAGTAAGCACCTGCCACATCAGGTCCCAGAGCTACAGGAACCCTGTAGCAACCACCACCACTATAAGGGCAGCTACAGTTATGCTGACCACCATAGTTATAGGGACCCTGTAGAACAGGAGGCACTGGCTAGTGAGAGAGTTGTATGCAATGGTTTCAATATGGTTTGTCCCCTTGGAAACCGGTGTTGAAATCTGATTG